TGAACGAGTCTTGATTACACACAAGTCGGCCACACGTTGCTGCCACAAAACGGCCATCATGGTCGTGAACAATAGCTCCGTAGCCTGCATTAGTAGAGAACATGGTTGCATCCACGTTGCATTTGAAAGTATCATGTGGTGGAGGCTCCCAACGATCCGAGGCACTTCTCACTCCCTCCGGTTGTACAGTAGCAGCGTATGCCTCCTTCCAAGAGGTTCGCAACCTCTCAACTTGGTCTCTCATTCCTTCCACAGAAGGAGTGATCTGCCTCTTAATTGTTTATAATGTTGTACTTTTAGTCCATAGTATTACGTAATTGTTAAACTCTGTAACAAAACTCGATCTTTTTATGAGGTTATTTTTGCTATTTAGAATTAATATTCATAGTTAAAACTTAATTACTCCATGTGAATGTTATTTTTAATAGTGAATATTGATTCTAAATGATAAAAATAATCTCATATGTTAATGGAATTTAACAATTATATAATACTAGGGACTAAAGTATAACATTATGAACAATTAATGTGTTAAATTTGTTTAAATTAACTTGGACAAAAATTTTTTAAAGTGACACAATTAAGGGGTCAAAATTGTCATTTTCTCTAAAAATAAACTTATTCTAAATTAATGATTTGAGGAAGAGTTAATACTTCCAATGGTCCTCCGATTATTAGCCATATACCAGTTGTGGTCATCCGACTTTTAAACGACCATGAAACATCCTCCATCTTTTAAAAAATAACCACTTATGATCCTCTGTTAAGTTTGGTGTCAAATGGACGTTAAATGTGAGGGCAAACATGTCATTTCACCTATATTCTTCTATACACCTTCTGATTAAGCCTCTAGTAGCAAGCTAACTTCAGGAACCTTCATCGTGGTTTTTGGTTACATGAGAATTCTCTATACATGCGGCAACATGAGAAACTCAATTAAGGAGATATACTTGCTAGCTTTGATGAGATGATACCTGTTAGTTGCTAACGACCGGGTTTTCTTCCACGAAGGAGACAATGACGGCATAGTTGTTGATGCACATTGTGAGGATGGATTGGAAACAGGCTCTTCTCATTGATTTCTGACAGAGAACGTGATGAACGCAAGATGAAAGAAAATATCTAGCAGATTTCATTAGTTCAAGATTATTCTGGAATGATGGTATAACAGATGTTTATATACATGCAGGGGCGGTTGAAACAAAAAATAAAAGAGGGAAAGACCCATAATGCCCTTTCATTTTTTCCTTCCTTCTTTGCTTCTGTAAGTCTTATCCTCCAACACCCCTCCACAAGGCGCATGCAGATCCTGGATGCCCAACTTAGATGTGAAGGTCTTGAACAAAGCAATGGGAAGGGGCTTTGTTGTAACACCCTGTGTTACGACCCCTAAAACCAATTAATCATTTAACCAATTATCCAAAGAAAGAATTAAATTACAATAATTAATTTGGAAATGGCCCACCATAGTCCGTGGGCCCTCACCCCTAAAACCCAACCCCTAGCCCTAAAAGGAATAGAATTAGCAAGTCTATAGTATTTAGATCCTAATTATGACTCCTAGGTATATAAATAGGGGACATAAGAGGCACCTAGAACCCCCACCACAATAATCCCTCACCACACAAGAAAGTTCCAAGAATTCCCTTAGGAGAAATCAAGAAAGGAGAAAGCTTCAAGAAAGACCCTTCGTAGCCAAGGAATTAATTAAGGCTAAGAGGTAACCCATGTCTCAACAAAACCTATTTTCTTAGCTATGATCTCCCTCTTAGGCATCCCTCTATATTCTTGTGTTTTGATGAATTGTTTACATTGATGATGTGATCTTGATAATTGGTGATATGGTTTTATCTTGATAATCTTGATGATGAAAAGGGTTTCTTGATGATTGTGTGATATTCTTGGGGAATTCGGATTCTTGACGATTATGAGTTATTCTTGATAAATTGTATTGTTTCCTGATGATTAAAAGATGGGTTACATTCTTGATGATTTAATTGTGATTAGAGCCCTAGGATGCAACGTGAAACTCGTATGGTGTTATTCTTAATGTATTGGGTGGGAATTCGCATGATTGGGTGTTAATTATGTTTAGAAAAGCATGATAGGATATGTGCCGTATGTTTCTTGCTTTTGATCCGTTAATTGTCTATGTGTCGGTATCAATTGCGTTTGAAAGTGTCTAAGCATGGTTTCGGGTTCCACAAAGGTTCCCGGGGCGTTATTCGTGAAAAAGAATCAGTGGGGGGTAGGGGACCCGCCACCTACCCGCGGCCAGTTTGGACGTCGCCGGCAGCGGGTGCCCGGCGGGCAGTCGACTGCCCGCCGGGCACCCGCTGCCCGGAACCTCGTCACCGGCGGGTGACCCTTCACCCACCGGCTACCCACTTGAAATTCTCCCACCTCGGGATTTCGGCTTCCCCGTTTGATGTTCCCCCGACCCCCGTGGTGTCCCAACGGACTCCGTCTATCGTGCCTATGTCTAGTTTGATGTTCGGGTACCATTCGTAGGTTGAATAAGTCTTATATATCGCATACTAGTTGAATTGGTATCCCGTTGGCCTAGGCGTAAGAAGTATGAACCCCTTAGGATTATTCTTAGTATGTGAATGATCACGCATAGGTTTCGTTATCTGATTTCTTCCCCTTCCCAATGTGCCAATGTGGGTTGCATGTGTTTGCTATGTGTTATGTGTGCATGATACCCCAATTCGGTTGCGATCGAATTGGTTATTCCTGAGCTGCGGTTCAGAAGCTGGCTGCGGTCAGATTTACACTCTCGGGCTGCGGTCCACAGTTTGGTTGCGATCAAACGTTTTACATGAGCTGCGGTTCATATTCCTGGCTGCGGTCAGATGACTACTCTTGGGCTGCGGTCCACTGTTTGGTTGCGATCAAACATTATGATGAGCTGCGGTTCATCGGTCGGTTGCGATCGACCCCTCCGTGTTGCGATACGGGGCAGGGTGCTGCGGGGCCGTGTCAGAGCTATATGCGCTGACCCTCATGTGTGGGCATGCGATTGGTCCTGTGGCGCTAACAAAGTGTGCTATGTGATCAGATATGGATGACTTGATGTTACGATTGTTACGAAAGCGTGACCATAGGATACATGCTAGTAACTGTATATGCTTGATTATGACTATTGGTTGTGCTTATCTCTATCTGTCGTATCTGTTCCCTACACCTGTGAATTGTGCATGCTTGGTTATGACTGTTGGTTGTGCTTATCCCTATCTGTCGAGTCTATTCCCTGTTTTGAAAGCTAGAGTCTCTTAGGATATATCTTCATGCTTCGAAATGGTTTTCATATATCTATGTATATATCTATATGTATTGTGTTTCAACGCGTTGGAGTGGGTTACCAGCATCTCTCGCTGAACAGATATATTTGGCTTTCAGGCACAGAAGAGTAGACACTGGAGCGCGCTAGAACCGTGGAGCGTAGAAGTAGATAGTTTCCCTTTCGGCCTGCGTGCCATGTTTATGCATTTACTTTGTTGAGGATATTAGTTAGTTAGCCTGTGCACCTGAGTTCTCTAGCTCAGGTGTGGCATAGCACCCCGTACTATTTATATTATGTTTTGGGATTTAATGAGAACTTACCCTTATTATATAAGCTTCAAAAGTTTCAAAATTTCGGGGTGTTACATTTGTGAAGCCATCTGCTATTTGATTTGAGGATGATACGTACTGGTAAGAGCTTGATTAGGCCATAAGATACCTTCTCCATAACGAGGTGGTAGTCTATCTCGATATGCTTCGTTCTCTCATGGAAGACATGATTCTCGGCCATGGCTATGGCGGATTTATTGTCACAAAACATGGCTGCCGGTCGCTGCATGGGTGCTTGCAAGTCGTTGAGAAGGAATGTAATCCACTGAACTTCACATACAGTGGAGGCAAGTGCGCGATACTCAGCTTCGGAGGAAGATCTTGACACCGTCGCTTGTTTCTTTGATTTCTATGAAACAAGAGCAGAGCCAAAGAAAACACAGTAGCCGGTTATGGATCTCCTTGACTCTATGCAAGAAGCCCAGTCCGAGTCTGAAAAAACATTGAGTTGTAAAGCTTCACCCCTAGGATAGAATAGTCCTTGCCCAGGCGCATTGGGGTGTGCACTGGTTTGCATTCAAGAAACCCAGCCTCAGATAGGATATCAAGTGCGTATTTTCTTTGGCATAAATTCAAACCTGAGTCATCCATTTTCGCTTCAATTCCCAGGAAATATCCAAGCTCCCCCAAGTCTTTAATTTTGAAAGCAGCATCAAGCCATGATTTGAGATCTTCAATCATACATAGATCAGGACTTGTAACTAGTATGTCATCTACATACACTAGGACTGCCATGAACTTATTATCTTTCCCTTTAGTAAATAGCGACGGGTCTGCTTTAGACTGATTAAACCCCATGTTGATGAATGCAGTGCTTAACTTGGTATTCCACTGCCGACTTGCCTGTTTAAGGCCATAAAGAGAGCGAAGCAGTTTACAGACTTGATTCGGTTTCTCATTCTGGAATCCTGGAGGCAGCACCATATATACTTCCTCTGTGAGATCACCGTGAAAAAGGCATTATTAATATCTAGTTGGTGGATGTACCAAGCTTGGGATGATGCTAAAGCCAAGAACGTTCGGATTGTTGTGATTCTAGCAACCGGTGAAAAGGTTTCAATGTAGTCAATCCCGAGTTGCTGAGTGTAGCCTTTTGCTACTAGGCGGGCTTTGTATCTCTCTACGGATCCATCTTCTTTCAACTTGACTTTATATACCCATTTACAACCTATGGGTGACTTCCCCGTGGGTAAATCAACCAGTTCCCATGTATTGTTGGCTTGCCGTGCTTGAATTTCTGTGTTCATAGCTTCCTTCTAATGACTATGCTTGATAGCCTGGTTGTAGGTATTTGGTTCGTCAATTGATGTCACTGCCATGGAGAATGTCTTATGAGACGAAGTTAAGGCATCAAAAGCTATGACCTTCGACAGAGGATGAGGTGATTAGCCTCTGTGAATTACTGCATCACAGTAGTAATCCTGAAGTTTGCTTGGAATCCGTCGTTGCTTATCAGAACGTCTTGGTTGTTCAACTGGAAAGGTGGTGTTGTTTCCTTCTGGTGAGGCAGAATCACACTGCTCTATTTCATGTGAGGCTTCATTAGAGTCAATTGTTTCATCAATACTGTTCTGCTGTGGAAGAGGATCAGTACTGGAAGCCTGCACTTGAGGTGGTGAGAATTTGTAGTTTGATGAGCCAGCATTGTGAGACAAATTAGCACTGGGAGCCTGCACTTGAGATAGATCATAGAACATAGGAGTGTTAATGGGAATTACTGGAAGGGGAGGTCCAGTTGGTTCTATCTCAGGTGCATTTGTCGAAGAGATTTTCTGAGAGAACGGGAAGAATGACTCATGAAAAATCACATCTTTTGATATAAAAATAGTCTTCTCATGCAAATCATATAGCAAATAGCCTTTAGTGTGAGCAGGTATGCCAATAAAAATACATCGTCTACCTCGATGCTCCATTTTATGCCTGGACTGTGACAGATTGGAAGCATAGCACAGACATCCAAAAACTTTAAGGCTCATCAAATCTGGATCTTTGCCATATAGTCTGTAGTAAGGAGTGGACAGCTCAATAACTTGTGAGGGCAATCTATTGATGATATAGACAGCATGCATCACACATTGCCCCCAAAATTCAAGAAGTAAGGTTGCTTGGAATCGGATGGCTCTTGCTACGTTGAGTATATGTTGATGCTTGCGTTCGACAACTGCATTTTGCTGCGGTGTGTAGGCACAAGACTTTTGGTGGATAATCCCCTTTTCTGCAAAGAACTCAACATTATTGAACTCTGTTCCATTATCAGTCCGAAATGTTTTAATCAGTGTGCCAAATTGAGTGAAAACCATAGCATGAAACCTTGTTATGAACTGTCTGACCTCAATTTTACTTTTCATCAAATGTAGCCAAGTAAAGCGGGAGTAATCGTCAACCAAAGTTAGAAAATAACGCTCCGAATCCCCTTTTAATGAACAAACCGGGAAGGGTCCCCAAACATCTGCGTGCACTAGATCAAAAATTGCTTTCGAAGTTGTAACACTTAGAGGGAAAGGTGATCGTTTGTGTTTGGCAAGGTGACAAGCATCACAAATAAAATTCTTAGTAATTGAAGCCTTGATGTCAGTTAAAAACTGAAGTTTATTCATAGGAAAGTGTCCTAATCTTTGGTGCCAGATTTCACCACTATTACACTGTGCTGCCATGATATTTCGAAATACATCCTTAGTCTGTGGTGAATCTAGCAGCAGATACAAACCATTCACTAGCTTAGCCGAACCAACTGTCGTCCCAAGAGCATCCTAAATCAAGCACTGATCTGATGTAAATATCAATTTGTAACATGTGTCTTGCAAGAGTCTACTCACAGAGATTAAGTTGAATCTGAAGGATGGGATGTGAAGATCATCCTTCAGTCTGATCTGCTTATTTAACACAATATCACCTATGTTTTTTACTGTGATTGAATTTCCCGTAGGCAAGCTCACTTCAGCTCCACATGTTGCATGATGATTATCAAAGAAATCAATAGAACAAGCTATGTGGTCTGTGGCCCTTGAATCTAGAATCCAAGTAGAGGGAGATAATTAAATTGAATTCACATGAGATATAGAAAACTTGCCTTCATGAGCAGATTCATCATATCTTTGTCAAATTGTGGAATCAATGACACAGCAGCTGTAGTTTTAGTGTTTGAAGGTGGTGCCATCTGTGCTTGAAGGAGGGATATCAACTTCATCAACTGGTCAGATGTAGTTCCAGGAGACAATGAAGACTCGGTGTTATCTGTGAAAGAGGAGCTCACAGCTGCAGTTTGTTTCCCCTTTGATTTATATCCCGGAATCCACCCCGGTGGATAACCGTGTTTCTTGAAGCATTTGTCTATGGTGTGTCCATTCATTCCGCAGAACGTGCATTTTGCCCCTTTATTAGCACCTCCATTCCTTCTGCCAGTGTAGGAGTTTACAGCAGCTACAATTTCGTCTGTAAGTCCTAGACCTTGCTGCACAGCATTAGCTTGTCTGATCTCAAAGCTGTTTAGGTTCAGATTGGCTAACGTGATCTGTCGTTCCAGTTTTTCCGCCATAACGAAAACCTTGTAAACTTCAGGCAACGGATCGAGAACCAACACATTCGACTTCAGGCTACTATAATCATCGTTAAGTCCCTGCAAGAAACGGATCACTTGATCTGTGTCTCGCTCACGTCTGATTTCATCCACTAAATTGCATGAACACTTTGGTTCACATTTACAGACAGGGAGAGGCCTTACAACATTCATCTCTTCCCATAATGTTCTACATTTCGTGTAGTAATCGTTGATTGATAGATTGCCCTGCTTCAATCCATAAATCTCACTCTGTAACGCTGAAATCTTCTGAGCATCACACTGCGAGAACCTCCGCTACAAGTCCTCCCAAACGTCTTTGGCCCTATCCAAATGCATAATACTTTGCGCAATAGTAGAATGAACAGATTTGAAGATCCAAGAGCATACCAAAAGATTGATGCGTCTCCAAGCTGCGTACTGGAAATGCTCTCTGACAGGCGCCGTGACACTACCGTCGACAAAGCACCATTTTTTTTTCACTTCTAACGCGATCCTCATTGAAATGCACCAGGAGGCGTAATTGGCACTGCCTAGCAGTGGCGGACTGACAAGGATAACATTCGGACTTCCATTTGAAGTAAGGAAGAAGGGATTGTCTAAGTCTTCCATGGCGGAACTTCTCTGTTGCGGAGTCTGGTTCCTCTGCGGAACAGTTGTGGACGACGAGCGAACTGGTGAGCAAGTGATCGGCGTTGCTCCACGCCTCTCTTGATCCGACTCATCGGAAACGGCGGCGGCGTAGCTATTCCGACGCGGAGGCTCTGATACCATGACGGAGAACGTGATGAACGCAAGACGAAAGAAAATATCTAGCAGATTTCATTAGTTCAAGATTATTCTGGAAGGATGGTATAACAGATGTTTATATACATGCAGGGACGGTTGAAACAAAAAATAAAAGAGGGAAAGACGACCCATAATTCCCTTTCAATTTTTCCTTCCTTCTTTGCTGATGTAAGTCTTATCCTCCAACAATTTCGTCTACGTAATCATCGCCGGTGTCAGAGATCAGGCTTCGGCGGCCTCTCCCACCACCACCCCGCCATCGTCAACTCCGACTATGCCCACTTCTTCTCCAGTTCATCATTGCAAGAGAGAGAGAGAGAGAGAGAGAGAAAGGCAGAATCAGCATCCTGGAAGAAGCTTCTCCAAAGAAAATCCAGAGGCAAATTTCTCCGAGCTAGGAACAGGAAAGCTACCTTGGGGTTGCCGGAAAAGTTGTTGTTGGAAGGTTTATAGTTATGGGAAACTGAAAGTATGGTTTCTGGAGCAGGGATGAGGTCGGAATTGGAGAGAGAGTAGCGCTGGAGCCTAAGGAAAGCTAAGATACAAAGAAAGAAAGACGCAGTGATCACCAGCTTCCACCCTAACCACAAGGTGTGGCGCACGGATGTCCACGGAGGTCCCACCGTCTCTCCTCCCTATAATTCAAATTTGTGTATGAATCATATATATATGATTCATATACGTATCAGCGCGTGTATATGAGCTGATACATACATGTATAGTTTTAGACGGAGAGAGAGGTGCAGAATGCCTCCAAACGTATCTGCCGCTAGCCATGTCCAACGAAGGGACCGAGATAAGCAATGGGTTTAATTTTGATTGGGTTTTGAATTAATATAAGAGAAATGACATGTTTGTCCACACATTTAACGTTCATTTGACACTAAATTTAACGGAGAACTATAAATGGTTATTTTTTAAAAGATGGAGAACGTGTCGTGATCGTTTAAAAGTCGGAGGACCAAAGCTGGTTTATGGCTAATACTCAAAAGATCATCGGAGGTATTAACTCATTTGAGGAATTAAGAAGTATGAAAATTAGAGTACCAAAACGCACCATATGATGCAATGAGGGTGAAGCAAAAGAGGATATCAACAAAGGTCACTTTGTTAAATTGTGTAAGACCCATTCTTCTTCTTCTTTGTTTGAAAAAAATGAAAAATTGTAAAAAAATGCCCCTCTATAATATGCCAATTATCAATGTCACCCCTGAATTATGAGTGGTGTAAATGTTGCCCCTCAATTATCAAAACGGTGCACATATAGCACCTCCCGTAACGGACATGTGGTTCCCCGTTAGTGTACGACACCGTTAAGTCGGAGTAAATATGTAATTTAGTTGTTTTTTCCCTCCATCGATTAGAAGTACCAGCGATGGACAGCGGTGGGAACCACAAGTCCGTTACGGGAGGGATTATATGTACACCATTTTGATAATTGAGGGGCAACATTTACATCACTCACAATTCAGGGGTGACATTGATAATTGACATATTATAGATGGGCATTTTTTACAATTTTCTCTTGAAAAAATTTAGGTCGTAAAGAGGGTATTTATAGGAAGATTAAGATGCATTTGTGAATATGTATTGAATGGATCAAATAATTTTGAAAAAAGGGTCAAATAGGCCCCTAAACTTTACCTCAAAGACCAATTAGTCCCCTAAACTTTACAAAAGTGCAATTAAACTTTCAAACATGTCAAATTGGGTCAATGAAGTCCAAAAATTGGTAAATGACCTGTTATTACAGGTCATTTCAATTCCGGCGACAGATTCAGGCCACCGGCGAGGAATTCTGGCATCCATTGGAGAAGACGACCAGATCTGGTCGTTCTTCTCCAATGGAGAAGCGTCTTCTCCATTGGAGAAGGCGGTCGTCCAGTCGTCTTCTCCAGTGGAAGACGACCGGATTTTTTCGTCGGTCACCGGAATTCGTCGCGGGAATCCATTGCCGGAATTGAAATGACTTGTAATAACAGGTCATTTACCGGTTTTGGGCTTCATTGACCCAATTTGACATGTTTAAGGGTTTAATTGCATTTTTGTAAAATTTAGGAGGCTAATTCACCTTTGGGGTAAAGTTTAGGGACTTATTTGACCATTTTCTCAATAGTTTTTTAATGTTTTGTCATTATGAAAGTGACGATAGATACCAGTCTTGACAGAGGATGGCTCTATGTATCCATTTGACTTTTGAGTGTTATCCTCTCTCTCTCTCTCTCTATATATATATATATAGGGGCACGCTATCATGCAAACGGCCGCTCAGGAGAGGAATAAGAATCATTTAGCGTCATTCACATGTCCAGATGAATGAATCAGATGTAATTTTTAAAAAACTACGCGGTGACATTTTCACAAATAATAACTCAAACTTTGGTGCATGTAAATGTATTATAAGTGCAAGTAGCTGGTGCACCTTTGCAAGTAAAAAGTGCTGGTAAAATGTCTTACAAGTGTACATACTTTCACTTACAAGTGCATGTAATTTTACCTTGTTAACATTCACGTACCTAGGTGCAACTAGTTATAACTATATTTGCACCTAGTTATAACGTTAGGGGCACGTAATTTTGATGCTCAATGTAAATTTTACTTGCACCTGTAATACATTTTACATGCACTGAGGTGCACTATATGAAACTGCTACTTGCACTTGTAATATATTTTACTTGCACGTCAATGTTTAATTATTTACGAAAATGCCACCGCGTTTTTAAAAAAATTAATGTTTCTCATCCCTTAGATCTAGACACGTGGACGGCGATGAATAGTTCTCACTTTTGTCCTGGGCGAACAGTTCGCACCTGAATGCGATCATATATATATATATATATATATATATATATATAAATTAAATGAACACAATGAAAACTACATGTGCACACAACAAATTAAGCACGCAAGTACTCAAAGTACTTGGCCGTCACAGTAGATAATTAATAAATCGCAAGTGGTGCAGTGTTCAGCGGCACAAATATAATGTTCGTTGGGCACATGAAAAGAAAAATGATGAAAACATATATAACAAGCCATAAAAACATACAAGATTAGTTCAGTGGCCAGGGGCGGACCTACAATGGGGGCAGTGGGGGCATCTGCCCCCACTCACCCCATCCTCACCCAGGGCCGTTCCAATCAAAATTGGGATCCTGTGCAATATTTTAATTTGGGCCCCCTTTTCAATTAATTTTTATATATAAATAATAGTTATTCAAAAAGTAGTGTCAAAAATTCAAAATATAAATAGTGTATTAAAAAAATACATCTAAAATTTCATTTAATTAAAAAGTGAAATGCGCCGTGCACACTTAGACGCAAAATCATCTACTAAACTTTTGATATCAATTTCTTCCAAAATCTCATTTTCAATAGAGATTAAAGCTAATCGATTGAGTCTCTCTTGCAACATACTTGATCGTAAGTAAGATTTCAACAATTTCAACTTTGAAAAACTCCTCTCTGCAGAGGCAACAGTAATTGGGATAGTCAATAATATTCGATATGCAATAGTAGCATTTGGAAAACAACCCATCTGTTTCAATGAATTCAATATACTCACTGCTCCTATATTTTCTTTCGATAAAATCTCTCTAAGTAATTTTAGCTCAATATACAATTCATTTCCGTCAATATCACCACACTGCTCATCTCTTTTAAGAGCTGCTTCTAAACAAATGCAACAAGACTTCAAATCCATATCAGCCATCAATTGTAACTTGTGAGAACTAAACAAAAAACCAAAAGTTTCTTCATATACTTCATATTGCTCAAACCTTTGAGTCAATGAAATAATAGCTTGATCTACAATGTATAAAAAATAATGAACCCTAAAAGATTCTTCTGGTGATAATGAAGTATCATCAGCACTCTCATCAAATTGTCTTTTTCTACGAATTTTTCGCTTTTGAGGAAACACTGGCTCAATTTCTAATTCAGTGGCAATTTCCTTTGCAATATCCATGGCAGTAGAAAAACCATTTCTAATTCGTTGTGCACACTATCATTATTTTTTCCAATCTCACAATCATCTTGATCATCTTGATCTTCTATATGAAGATTAGCATCTAACAATTTTTCCTTGGCTTCATCTTTTTGCTCATCTATTTGAGTTTTTTTTGTAATGAATTTTTCAAGAGCTCCCTTTTGAGATTGAGTTAGTTGCTCAATTTTTCTTTTCTTTTTACGCTTCTCAAACCCAGATGAATATTTTTTAGAAGACATAAAATCCTAAAGAAAAATAAAAATTTATTTAGGAACTCTATAAATAAATAATTAATCAAGAAACGAATTAAAAACTCAAATTAAATAACTCACAAACAGCAATTCTTTTTTTAGGAAACGAACTGTAATTTTTTTTTAGGAAACAAACATCAATTCCTCAATTCTCAAATACTCAAATTAAAAACTCATTAAATAAATTAAATAAATTAAATAATAGACAAATACCTGTGTTGTAGAGTGTAGACTGCAATCAGAAATTATGTGTGTCTCGTCTGCGATTTGTCCGTCCTCAGCTCGTAATTCGGAAATCGGAATTCTTACGGTAATTGTCCAATTGATGCCTACTGCGGCACTGCCTAATCAAGGCACTTATATAATTTAGGTTAGGTTAATAAACTTGTGGCTTGGCTTTCAAGATTTGTTTGAATTGAATGTTGATTGGCTGATTAAGGCATTGCGCTGCATGTGATGTATATATATACTAAATTTTTTTTTTTTAAATAAGGGGCCCCCAAATTTTGGGGGCCCTGTGCGGCGGCCCTGGGCAGACTTGCCCAGGGCCGACCCTGTCCTCACCCCATATATAATCCTTGTATGTATATATGTATATATAGTACAGGATTTATAATAAGTAAAAGAAAATTGAGAATGGTAAATAATAGGGGCGTTAGAGCAGTTGGTAGAGGCGTGGTTTACATTGAGGAAGGGCAAGGGTTTGAATCCTTCAATGGGTTTTCCCATTCACTATTTTTATTTTA